TGACCCCCTTCTAGAATTCTACGGCCCTATACTGACGGCGTACGACACGTTCGCCAACGGCGCGTCGCGCGACGTCGGGATCGAAATCGATCACGGCTCCGAAAAGAAGATTTCGGCGGATGGGAGAGAAGAGTGATTATCCGCGCGATCCTCGAGGGCGGATCCTATAGACTTCGCGATTAACTTCCGCTTCGACGACAATCGCGGATCTCTCTCTTCTTAGTTCCTTGAGAGACTTTCTGTAGTTCGATTTAGTTTTAGTTCTTCGTATTATAATTTTTCATTTTTATTTTGTATGTTTCTTTTAACGGCTTAGCTCAGCTTGAACGTTATTCATAGTAATTTTTACTTTTATTATTTATAACTTAATTCCTTTTATATTATATTGTATTGCCTGAACATTAAATTTGTTTAGATGATAATAAATCATATTTTACGTGATAACGATCTATTTTGCTCGTCTCATGATTCTTTCACTTTGCTTTGCAAATACGAGCCTGACTGTAGTTTATTATTTCTTTAATTCTCATATATAAGTACAATCGTTAAGGGATGTTCGCCGAGTCTGTTTTGTTTGTTTTGCTTTACATTAAAATCTCATTTTGCCTGATTTCACATTAAAATTTCATTCGAGACTGTTATCGAGAATAAATTCGCGCTTCAATGACGGTATTTAACGGTTGCGAATTTCGTATAACGAGACGCTTGTTAGTCAGTTAGATTGCTATTGTACAAGCCCCGAAATGTGCGGTGTCACGACCGCGACGCGGTCACATCAATAATAAACGAGAGGGATTAATCGATGCGAACGGATTATCCAGGAGCACTGTGTGCCCCGGTGAGATTTCACTCCCATATGTCGAAAAAGATGCTGCTCCAACATTCGGTTCAATTTCCTCGAGAAATTCGTCACCGCGATCGCAGAAGAAACGAAAAAGGAATAAAGTACGCGAAAGAGGGAGATATTCCCGGAAATTCTAACTATGCGATTTTGCGAATTCTAATATCCGAATTTAGTAGAAATATTGTTGTAATATAGAACTCGGTCAGAGGTTGTCGACTCCATAAAAAGACGTGAAAATTTTATGAACATTTGAGAAGTAAATTTCGCTTCGATGTAATTTTAAAGACTTAACTGTTTTAGACTTAACTTGCGCACCTTAAATAATAAATTCATGTTCAGGTGGAGAAGATACATTTCTAATTTAATAACAATTTTTAATATTCCTTACTGTGTGTGTGTTTTGACGTTGTGATTTAGGAAAAGATATTTCTTGAATTCAATTAATTTAATAATGTCAATATTGTATATGTGATAATTATAATGTGTTAGCTAGATATCAATAACTCATGCGACGTTATGTATTTTACGTAAATACTATTAAATTCGTAGTGTCAAATTAAACTCAAATTTGTGTCATTTTTAATTATTCTTATAGGTCGTCACCGCTCTTATTCAATATGTTAATTTAACTGAACCAATCGAGTTAGAATGATATTGTGTTAAAAAATAATAAGTTTTGACAAAACTTACGGGGGTAGTTAAAAATAACAAAATGTTATTTAACTCAAGATATTGGTTTAAATTTCACCCTTTAATATTTAACGGTAAAAGATGCAAATATCCCTCTCATCGTCACAAGATTGTCAGATCATTACGCGCGTCGCGCCTGCTTTCAGCTATCTTTTCCTTCGCCGAACGAATCGTAGGTGTAATTCGGGTGCGTATTGAAAATTAACGCGATCTCGGACTTTGGTAGGCGAGGAATTCGATGCTCGCGCGCGACCCGCTAGTCACCTTTACGGTACTCGCGATACTTTCGGCTGAATCGCGCCGCGTCGGCGTGGAAACTCGCGCGGTGGAAGGTGGAACGCAAACGCGCGCTTTCGCGCTTTTTTCTCTGTCTGTGTGCTTTCGGACGCGTTGAAATGTCACGGATAAACTAATCGTGATTTTTACACGACGTTCTCCATAATAGCAATTCCTATGAATAATTGAGCGCGATTGAATCGCGCGGCTATATAATAAATGCTCATTCATGTTTTTTAATTAAGGCAAAATGTAAGTTCGTAAACAAAACTTGATTTCTGATTTACATACAAGATTTCTATTCGCGTACAAAAGAAAACGAAAGATAGAAACTGCGTTATATGGATCAAACATAAAAAAAACATTTATTTTTAAAGGATCTATAAAACTCAAGCGTCTAATATATAACAACGCATTTCAATAACTTTGTTCCAGCGCTAATCTATACGTACGAATAAATGGATAGATAATTTCATAGAACACGGATAGTTCATTTATGGAATGGACAGATCATTATATAAATTAAGGACGAATTTTAAATCGTTCGTGACGCGGAATCCGTCGTCGCCGCGACATTTCCAAGGATTTTAAAGTGGAATATAGGTTGATCGAAAGAGCCTTTGTTAAAAATGAACATCGGTGGGCGGAAAAGTTGAACGTGAGGCATTGTATTCGCGTTTCGTTTTGTTGAGTGCGCGAGAATCCAGTCGGAGGTACACGAGGAGAGAACGTCACACTAGCTAGCGGCGAAGAGGAAGAATTCTTCAACAATGTCGGAACGGCCGGCGCGCGTTAGTCTGGACGTTGAATTCATACAGGCGGTGGTAAACGCCAGATAGGAATGCTTAGAGAACGAGTGCCACAAGCGGGAAAGAGGAACACAATTGAGAGGAGAGTGGGGAATCGTCCGCAACGAGCGCGCACTTCCTAGGTGGTTCGAGCACGAACCGGCTCGGGCTCCGGGCTCGAGCCGGAGCACGAGCGTGGCACCGAATGCTCGTCGTCGAGAGAGGTGAGGCCCAGTGACCGAGATTCCCCTCACTCCTGATCCTTCCACCGATTCTCCGCCCGGATCTCACGGCGACCCGAGCATCGCGAGCAGCCGGAACCCACGGGCTCATCGTCCTGAATTTCCGTTTAATACAATCGTTCGAGTCGCGCATGTAAAAATGTACCCGATATACATATCGCTTATTTCCTATACGGCAACGATTGTCATTTTTCAGTTGTTTGCGAAATAAAGAATGGTGAGAATTCAAATTCACATTGAATAAAGAGCTAATATATAGCTAGATACTTTTATTCCTTTATACAATCAGTTATTATTCACCAAACTCATATTTTTAGAAAATATTACAAAAATGTAATGATTCAAAGTATTCAAATTTATTTTTTGGAAAACTTTGCTTTTTGAGCTATGTCATTTGTTGTAACAAATGAGTGCTATGTAAAGGAATAAAAATACGATCAAAAACATCGAAAACTTTAAAAGACGAAAACTACTTTAAAAACTTATTTTCCGATCTGCAAATAATCATAAATCATAAATTGCGTATCGAATCAAATAAAACTTCTTAAAAATTGAGTATGACATATTAAGACTTTCTCTCAATATGCAGACTCGAATGTATGCGCTCATTTCGAAATATAATATTGATTTTTCAAAATTTTACGCACCGGTAACGACTGCATTAACTCCAGAGTCAGTTATTTTGATGTAGATATTATTTTAAAGATCTCTTTGAAGATTTACAATTTGGAAGTCAATTGATTTGAACCTAATAATTACTAAAATCCATTTTACATATCGTTTTTGAAATCGAGTGCTCTCGCACAGTTCTAAATCTCTTTATCTGCGTCATCTACACGCCGTCAATAATATCATTTACGCTTTCAAACGCTTTAGATCCACTAGCATTGACAAAGTCGTTGGTAAAGTAAATGAACCCAGTTCGATAGAAATAAAAACGAGCGTTTAGAGCAGGGGTTTCCATTCTTTTTTGTTAAGAAGGCCACATTAAAATCTTTGTAATAAACGGGGAGCCGGATATTAGTTTCATTTTTGAAAATCATATAAAAACAAAATATCTTTCAGGATATTTTTTAAAGAGCGTCCACTAATTTGCGCAAAGCGCAATTCTTTAAAAAAACATTGAATCAAAAAGTCCTGAACCCTTTTTTTTATAAAGCAGATATTTATTGAGAGAATTCGGGCGCTTGCACTTAGTGCACACTGAGTGTGCACCAAGGCTTGTTTATAATCTATTCTTATATTTAAAGTCGCTTAAATACACATTTAAAAACTTTTTAGCCAATAAAACAATCTGTAATATCTATACGGATGCTGTACAAATCATTTTATAGACTAAGAAGTATTTAAGATGATCTGTAAATATAACAATTGATTAAGAACAAGCCTTAGTGCGCACTCAGTGTGCACTAGTGCAAGCGCCCGAATTTTCTATTAGATTACATTTAGAGCGCTAAATACAGGCTGCGGTCCACTTAACAATACAAATGCTTCGAAGCATTTAGTGTAGAAAGAAGGAGAAGAGGAACGCTTAAAAGCATTTGTAGCGTCAAATCGATTACAACCATAGAGATACATCCCTTATAGAAATTTAATACTGTAAGTGATTTTTTGGCTAGTGATTAATCATTTAAAAGCACTATGAAAAGCACTGTTAATAATGCTTTTAATAGTGCTTTTAAATGATTAATCACTGTTAATAAAGCACTGTTAATAGTGCTTTTAATAGTGCTTTTAAATGATTAATCACTAGCCAAAAAATCACTTACAGTATTAAATTTCTATAAGGGATAGGGTGCACTAGATCCTTCAAACGCTTCAAAGTATCATTTTATCCTTGTTTAACATTTGATAAACAACAAAAATGAAATTTTCTAAGAGCGTTTGGAGCACCAAGTGGATCGCAACTATATGTATATAATTGATGGCTCAATTCAGTATTTGTATACGCTCTTCATCTAAAATAGATAACAAACAATTAACGATTATAAACTAGAACTCACGCGCGCATTTAAAGAGAAAGAAAGGGTGAATTCCCTCCAAGATGTATAATATATCAACCAGGAACAACACAGATTTTCAATACCTGTCAGCACATCTCGGAACGCATCCGGAGAATACGAATTGCTTGCGCGCGCAGAACATGCGCAGCGCAGTCGATTGTCGTTATCGAGTCGCGCATATGCCTCCACGTAGTGACAGGCATTACGTCAACATAACCTGTACCATATTCGCGATTACCTTTATCCTTCAGTCAGTCCCTTCGTATAATTAAAGTCTCGCTGGCGATTAGTTATCCTTTCAAAATGGTGTCCGTTTTAAATACCGTCGACACTGGCCACGAGGACATGATCCACGACGCGGAGATGGATTACTACGGTTTGAGGTTAGCAACTTGCTCGAGCGACAATTCGGTGAAGATATTCGATTTGAAAAACGGCACTCAGAACCTGGTCGCCGTTCTCAAGGGACACATCGGCCCGGTGTGGCAGGTCGCGTGGGCCCATCCGAAATTCGGCAATCTCTTGGCATCTTGTAGCTATGACAGGTACACACAGTCTTACAATGCTACTTGTGTTACACATACATTTACCAAAATATCAAGCTTAATAATTAAGTATACCTAATAACTTAATAGCAGCTAAAGCCCCTGATAATACGCAGTCAACGTTTGTGCACTTTTACAGAAAGGTAATTATCTGGAAGGAACTGGGAGAATGGACCAAGATCTACGAGCATACTGGCCATGATTCCTCTGTCAATTCGGTCGCGTGGGCGCCGCACGAGTTTGGTCTGATCCTGGCCTGCGGAAGTTCAGACGGATCAGTTTCCATTCTTGCAAACACCGGAGATACCTGGCACATGCAGAAAATAACGAACGCTCACACGATTGGGTGCAATGCGGTCAGTTGGTGTCCAGCGGTCGATTCGGGCGCCGATCCCAGTGCGATTCAACAGAGGAACGATCCTGTTAAGCGGTTAGCCACCGGTGGTTGTGACAATTTAGTGAAGATATGGAAGGAGGACGGCGACAGATGGATAGAAGAGAATAAACTGGAAGCACATAGCGATTGGGTACAATTTAATAACAACGGAAATATTTAAACACCAAAGACTTACATATTTATATATCTTTTTTTTTTATCATACTTGTAGGTTCGCGATGTAGCCTGGGCACCGGCAGTTGGCCCATCCCGAGCCGCTTTGGCGTCTTGCTCGCAAGATCGCCGCGTTGTCGTATGGACTTCCAACGATTACACTAGCTGGACACCGAACGTTCTTAATGTCTTCGATGACGTTATCTGGAATGTCAGCTGGTCGTTGACAGGCGGTATCTTAGCGGTCAGCGGTGGCGACAACAAGGTTTCGCTCTGGCGCGAGAATTCCGAAGGACAGTGGGCATGCATCTCGGAATTGAACAAAGATCAAGGAAATCTTAACAATCCAGATCAACGCGCATTGTAATATTGATTTAACGGAGAACCATGTAAAATAATATAAAATAAGCATTGTAATTAATAATTAATACGGATTTGTTTGATATCGAGGATCTTTTAGCAAATTCCAGAGTTAGTTCGAGTTATTTACCGTTAATATTTGATTATCCATAAACATTTATTCGAAATATTATGTTTATTCTTATTGCGATAACTGAAAAAATTGTTGGCAAATATCATACGTTCTTATGGATGTTTTTTTTTTACAAACAGTATGTATTTGCAGCAATATCTGCGTAATTTTTTTTTTATAAAAAATACATTGATTTTACCGGTAGTATTGAGAGTTAAATTGCTCATTCGTAATCAGTCTTGGGTGTATAAGGACGCGGCGAAAACTATGTCACGTTTGATCGCGGTCGAGGCTTCCTCCATCTTCTCTTTCAAAACTGGGTCGCCTATCGTCACAGCCGCATTTTTAACATCTTGCAATGTTTCGCCGAGTTGCTGTATGCAACGAACGATAATTCCTTCCTGGACATCCGTCATCTTCATGATCTCGGCGAATGATTTGGCCTGCGCCCATTCGTAGACAACCTCCACCAAGCCGAAATTCAATGGTTGTAATGTCGATAGTTGATAGTATTGCTCCAGATGCTCCAGTTCCGCGTGCACCTCGCTCATTATCTTGCAAGCCTGAAGAGGACGAGGATTGTTTTAATTTCTTATAGCGATGTACAATTTTTTGAATACTTGATTGAGCCAGAAAGAGATGAATCAGTAACACATACGTTAGTAAGGTTTGGTGGGAGTTTAGGTTCGAATTCTGTGCGTTGCTGGAAGATCAGTGCTGATAACAACGCTGCTATTTCTGCCGGTTGTAAAACAGTCAACACATTTTTGAGAATCAATTCTGTTATCAGCAGTTCGTTACTACCCATTTGCAGCGCGACTCTTCCTTTTAGGGCGACTAATAAATAATGATACATTGTTAATTGCGCTTTAATAAATAAATATTAAATCTATAATTATTTTACGATTTTGATTAATACAAACCTCTTTCATCATTATCTATGTATTTAAAATGTTTAAGGAGTGCTACCATATTTAGGTAATCAGGGTACAATGCCATTCCTTCATCGCTGAGTTTAAGTTGAAGCTGTCGCATTTTATCCTCAAGTTGATTCCGTTCGAATACAGGTCTGAATTGTTCTTCAAAGTTTGGTATTTCCTTGCACTTCATATCGCCCAGATTAGCTTTTAATTTGTCCCTATGTTGTATCCTCAATTGAAAATCATTTTTCGACGAGGGCTTGATATACGGTTGTAGGATGTGAGGCTTGATAGAAGCGTTAAATGATAGAGAAGTCAATTCTTGAACCGCTGTCTGACATGTTTGTCCCGGTGGATCGTTTCTAAAAAAGAAGAAATATTCGATAAGTATATAAGATGCTCCAAAAATTTTTACTATGCTATGTTATTTCTTACTTGAATCGTGAGATTTGTCTCTTTTCCCAATCATTTAATACCAAAGAACAATCAACTTTTATCTGACAATTAGTTATTTTCAATATGTGCCATGGAAATATAGTCAGAACCTCGTGTGACGGATTAGTGCTTGGGACAAATATCTCTTTTTTTGTCAGGCTCATAATCTCGCACCATTTCTCGAATATCTGAGGACTTTTGAATTCAACATCTTCGAAAGTGGGTGCATTCGTGTCCTTAAGTATCAAGACTTTGTATTGAATAGAGCTTTTGTGATAGTGAACTTTCAATAATAGGGCTAGTTTGTTGTAATGATTCACGTAGGATATTAACAAGACTCTACCCTCAGTTAAACTTTTCGCTGTTTTTCTCGAATCGAATAAATAAGGGTTCAAGAATTTAACATCTTCCAGATAATCGACCGCCTTGTGATAGAATGCAGAGAGTATTTTTTGCATATCGGTCAAAGGCGGCAAGTTCGACAATTCGCGCTCGATTTTCCGTAACTCGTTGTTATATGTCGCTTCCTGCGAGGCCAATGGCGATTCCTTGAAAGATTTGCGCATCATCGCCTCAACGGTGACGGATTCATTTACCCTTCTCAAATTTAGAAGCATGGAATACGTGACTTTAAATTTCGATTCTAATGTTTGCGGCTCACCGCACATCATAGGTTTCAAGTCGTTAAAGTGTGGCACGTCGTTTCTGCACATCACTATAACAGTTCCCGTGCTGTCATGACCTCGCCGTCCGGCACGACCAGCCATCTGTATGTATTCAGTCGGATACAGGGTACGAAAGTTGCTTCCGTCGTACTTTCGTATAGAATCGAACACCACCGTGCGCGCTGGCATGTTGACTCCCATAGCAAAAGTTTCTGTCGCGAATAGTAACTAAAAATGCGATAAAATGCAATTTCGTTACACCTTCTTAATTTTTGCATATTTCCAAGACTTGAAGATTACTTAAGACTTTTTAAAAATGTGCTTTAATTTTTTCTACCTGTTTTTTTCAATGTTTCCTCGCAAAATTACCTTCACAACTCCACTCTGAAATAACATTTCTACGATCTCTCTCAAAATTGGCAGTATCCCACTATGATGTATACCCACTCCTTTTCCTAAGAGCTCTTGCATCATAAGTACTTGTGGTAGTTCTCTGTCGCTACCCTTCAGGTGTTTTATGTTAGATTGGAAAAATACATGTACTTGATGCTTTTCCCTCGCAGTCGTTAAATCAAGATTTCTTAACGTAGCAGCATTCATATCACAGCGTTTCCTCGACAGAGTAAATACGACAACGGGTAACATATCCTATAAAATTGCATTATTTATATAAAAATAATTATCACATAATTTCTCTGTAGAATAAAAAGTATGCAGTTATAACAACGTACATTGCTCTGAAGATGGCTTACAAATGCTCTCCATAATACCTCTTCTTGTTTCGGCGTCATTTGAATTCTTCTTCTACAGTCCTTTGGGGTTTTGTCTTTCTTTTTATCGGATGTATTTGTCGCTTTGTACCATCTGGATCAAGTATTAAAATATCACTGTATCATTATCATGCCTCTCTTGCTTTCACTCAAAAATATATAAAGGTAGGAAGAGAAATGACTTACCCATCCAATAAAAACTGGCCGTTGCTATCAAGGACCAAGAATTTGTCATCCTTAGTCTTACCGTCAGTGCCAGTGTACAAGTAATGTAAAAGAGGTATGGGTCTTTTCAAAGTGCTAATCACGTACATCCTTCGCTTTTTGATACGACCGACCCAATCCGCAAATATTATTGGATTTGGTACAGTCGCAGATAACATTACTATATTAATATTCTGTGGTAAAAGAATGACTATTTCTTCCCATACGTGACCTCTCTAAAAGTACAAAATAATTTTTATAGATTGTCGGATTTTTTGTAGGTATATACGCGCCATTTCTTATAAAATCAGCATTACGCACATCTTCATTATTTATATAATGCACTTCGTCAAATATAACAAATTCTAGATCCCGTAGAACATCGGATGCACAATACAACATTGATTGTAGGATCTCCGTTGTCATGATTAGACATGAAGCAGTTTGATTTATTTGCAAATCACCTGTTAGTAACCCAACGCTTTCAAACTTTCTCTTAAAATCACGATATTTTTGATTTGACAGTGCTTTTATGGGAGACGTATAAATCACTCTGGAATGACATAAAAAGTTATCAGGAAATTAATATCTAGCTATCTGTGACAATAGTATCGCAAAGTTAATTTTTAACCTTACTGTATAAAAACCTTATAACTTTACCTCGTCATATGCTTTTGGCTCAATGCAATGGCATATTCAGCAACAGTAGTCTTTCCCGCTGATGTATGCGCAGCAACGAAGACGTTGCTATTCTCTTCCAATTTAAGAATAGCTTGTTTCTGAAAGGTGTCCAGTTCATAATTGAATTTGATTGCTGGGTCAGGTATTCTCTTGTCAAAGTCAGTTACTGGTGCGGATACATCAAGCTGCTCCGCCCATTCTGTCTTTGAAAGTTCTGTTTGTTTCTCGGATATTTTCAAGACAGGTATACTTATATCTTTGGGTAAAGTAGAATTTTCTTTAAAGGGAATGTTGCTGTCCGAAACTTGAACGTTCTCTTTTCTCGGCTCCTCAACTGAAGACGATGAGCCAAGCAAATTTCCCTCCTCGTGTACAACAGACATTAAATTTATATTATCATTATTGATTATTAATTTTTCAGTTTCTTCAGACAATGAAATTTCTGTTTCGTTCCTCGTGCAATTGATTGGTGTGCAATTGTCACTTTCAAATTCTAAACCCGAGCTAAATCCTTTGGCTAATGTCCTTAAATTCTTCTCGAAGTCAATGTCGTTAATAACGATTTCATTTTCAGGTACTTCAGGCTCTTCAAAACCACCAGGCCAAAATGGAATATTACTAGGATTACCTGCGGGAGATATAGCATTCACCTAATATATGCATTATTTTGCAATTATGCCTTGATTGATGTATTACAATTTTAACGAAGAGAAATACATGTCGAGATAAAATTAAGAGTACCTCGAACTCCGTCTGCAAGTGATCCAGGCGCACGAGTCATAGACATAGAATTCCTTGCCGTTTCCCCTGCACCTTGTAAGCAGATCTCTTGTATCTCGCCAATTTTCCCCGTTACTGGATCACGGTCAAATCTCAGCGTGGTACTGACCGGAGCCAAATCAAATTCCAACAACGAAAGAACATCTGCTCTGCGTGGCCAATAACGTTGGGTACTGTCCAGCTGATGTATAGGTAATCGTTCAGGGCATTCAATGTATTCCCGTAGTTCTGATTTAATATCAGGCCAGATGGGTGGAGGCTCGGTAAACTGTGAATCAATATAGATAAATACATAAAATTGTAACAAGGAGCGAATATCATATATTTGATATATTAAGTAATAATTACTCGCGTCGATTCAGTCATCGTTATTTCACAAATCTCCTTTGTTTATTATATATTCATATATTAATTTTTCTCTCTATGCCTAATTTAAAGTATAAGCTTCATATAACTGTCACATAATTGACACGTTAAAATAGTAATTTGACTCAATTAGCAGTAATTAAATTATGTGTATTTTAAGTTTGTACACGTATATATTTAAATCTCGAAGTACATAATTAATTTTTACTGATTGTAAAATTATAACCTCGCCAACACAGGCAAAATAGGTTAGGCGAGTAACGAGGATTTCCTACTAAGATCCCCCCAAACAGCCTAAACTCCCCTCCTAGATTCAGAGAGAAACCTGACAGCCTGAACCACTTTTAATTTCGTGCATAAAAAATTATTTTAACATAAATTATTTAGAACTTTAGATTAACCAAAAAAATCGAAGTTGACCGCGGCAACCGCGGCGCGCGAGAAAAGCGCCTCCGCCATCTTGATTACGTCCCCCTTCCTCTTCCGTTGTTCCATTTCCAGAACGGCGGCGCTGGCGTCGGCGGCGACAGACACAACGACGCAAGACGGATCGGCTCCGTAATGAGTGGCGTCGCGCGACTCGTTTAATTGATTAATTGGTAAGAGTCACGGAGTAACGTATATTTATTTATTACTTAAAATGCAGTATCTATCGCGCAGCATAGATTCAGCGCTCGGGTATTAATAGTTTGTAATAACACGTATCTCGCGTACTTGCACTGACTTGCACGGCTGAGACGTATCGCGCGGACAAGCGCGAGAGCAATGATCGTATTTTCGAATATCGCGGATATCACCGAAGAGTATTAATACGCCTATTCGTTAGGCTGCAGACCAATCGTAATAAAAGCATGTAATCAGCATATAATATTTCCGAACAATCCAAACTCGAAGTTCGGAAAATTCATAAGCGTGAAATTAGGAGCGAGACGCGTAGCGACGCGGCGGCGTATTTGGCGCGTGAAGTTAGCCGCGCGAGAGATGACCGCCATATTGATGACGTTCTCCTTTCATTTCCAGAACGCGGCGGACAGAAGACGGATCGGCTGAATCGGCTCCGGAGCGAGTGACGTCGCGACTCATTAAATTGGTAAGCATACCACATATTAACTTTGCACGCATTATATTCACAGCAGTACGTATCTATCGCGTGGTATGGATTCGACACGCTCGAGTATTGATGATTTCTTAATAATACGTATTCTGGGATACTCGTTCGGCCGAAGGCATCGCGCGAGCAATCGCGAAAGTGACGACCGTACTTTCGAGTGTCGCGAATATTTGCCAAAAATATTAATACGCTATTAGCTAGAATGCAGAATAACAACCGTGATAACAGAGGCGAGTTTATAATATTTAATTTTCGAAGTTCGGAAAGTTCGTAATCGCAAAGTTGAGAGTGCGACGCGTATTAGTGACGCCGCGCGCCGCGGCGCTTTCGGCGCGAGTTGACCGCGCGCGAGATACGAAGCGCCTTCGCCATATTAATTTATACGTTCCGCTTTTCCAGAATGCGACGAATACGAGACGGAGATGGATCGGCTCCGAACGAGTGGCACGACTTATTTAATTGGTAAGTAAGTAACATGCATTAACAAAAAATCTTTTACGCCATCTTACACAGATATACATTTCGTTGCATTTTTATTTGAAATATCGCTGCGATATTAAACGTGGCATAATTTCTTCTGCATTTATTTCTCCGCTGTCACAATATAATTAAGTACGCTTTGCGTGTGATTAATATCGGGTATAATATGTACCTGATATAATATGTACTATTATTATTATAAATTTTAAGTGTTTAGAAATATTTGATATATTAACAAGTAATATTTGATATATATTTGTCAATTATAATCATGTCATAAATACATTATACATATTAAATATTTAAATATATTATTTATTATAATTACATCATATACAGTATATTGCATGTTTAATACATTATCTAATAAATAAAATATTTTAGATTATACTTTTAAATATTTAATAAATTATTTATGACATGATTAATATCAACAAATATATATAAAATATTACTTGTTAATATATATTTCTATTTTTAAATAATTTCTAAATAATTAAAATTTATAATAGTTTAGATTATATCAAAATTAGACTTTTTTCTTTTTAAATTTTATACAAGTTAATAATATTTAAAAAAAGCATTGTCATTAAGATGTTATTCTTTTATTAAAAATTTATTGAAATTACGAATAAAACTTGCGTGCAAAAGTTATTTTCTTATTTTTATTTTAAGCATGTGTTTCTCTTAATTTCTTTCTCATATTTGTCCAAAGTTAAATATTTTATAAATTAGTGCAAGCAAGCAATATAGTAGATATATATCTATAAATATTTTTTGAATGTGTGTGCATGTTAGACATTATTCTTATTTCAATATTTTCGTATGTTACAGCTCAATTTTGTATATAACGCCTGTGTGAGTAAAGAAAAGGGTTCAGATGAAAGAACCCGGGAGGAAGCCTAGGAAAGGTATCGGGCGTTGTTGGAGTAACATTGCGGTAAGCATTATTACTTATTTGTACTAAAATTAGTCGTTTTGTTTTGATGATTTAAAAATAATAATTAGAGAAAAAAATTAATCTGAAATTTTATAAAAATTTATTCTTGGGCAGATCCTTTTTGAAAAATGTATAATTATTTTAATAGATATTTAATGAAAAACCATTAAGAAATTTTATGCATGTAAGAATTATCTTTTGAATCTTTTGAATTATCTTTAATTTGAATTTTATGTTTGTATATTACAGAATCATCGTGGCGCTGATCATACATACGTGGCTGACAACTCCACTGTCGATTGGTGAGTGACAAAAAGCATTATTAATGAGATAACAGATCTGTGAAAAATGTATTAGATATATATATTTACGTATCATAATTGTATTACAAATAAGTATAGAATCTCATAGATCCGTTTTATCTTAAAATGGATGAGCCATAAAGAATTATGACAAATATTTCATCTCGGACTCGTTTTGCGTTATTTAATTTGGTGTACTAATGTGCTTGAAGCTACGCTCGCACAGGTACACAGAGAAAGAATACAATAAATAGAAATTAACGGATCCTTATTTTATTTGTCTGAATTCTATTGTTTAGGAAAAAAAAACTTTATATTCTTTCAAGTTAAAACATTCAATATATATATTATTTTTAATATATTTAAAATAAGTATAGTTCAATAAACTTTATAACGTTAAAACTTTAAAATGGGTCTTTATTTTAATTCTATTAATAATAATATTAATAGAATTAAAATATAAGGACCCGTTTTAAAGTGTAAAAGTTTTAACGTTTTGAAGTTATTGTGAAGCTATACTTATTTTAATATATTAAAAATAATATATAGATATCTATATATTGAATGTTTTAACTTAAAAAAATGTAAAGTTTTTTTTCCTAGACAATAAAATTCAAACAACAAAAATAAAATATTTATATCTATATCTAGAGTTGTAGCTTAATAAAGACAAATAGTTCCATAGATATTAGAAAAAATTATGGAAACTTTTTTTTGTGTAAATGTACGTATATGCACGTATATATATATGTGTTTCACTCCGTTCTGTCTGCTTTCAATTTTGTCCTGTCTTTATGTTTATTCTTTTTTCGCAGTCTCTGAATATGCTTCTTCAGTTTACCTGTATTTTTCAATTCTTCATACTGTGAGACCAAATCCAAGACTTTCTTCTCAGCTGCAAAAAACAAATAAGATAAAATAAAACAATATAATATCAATCAGTATTATGTTAACGATAAGCTAAACTTACATTTTTTCTTGAAGACAGGCTTTTCTCCTCGTTTAACAGATTCTAGTAGCTCTTCCTTTTCTTGCCGCTTCTTTTCTGCTTTCTCTTTCCTTTTCTTTTCTTCCCTTAACTGATTTTCAAGCCTCTGAATGAGATATTTTATTTTCTTTATAGCTTTTAGATCTGTCGTTTCTTTCAATTCTTTTTGTAAAGTTTTGAGGTCGTTTTCCCGTAACTTGTTAATAAATGCATAAGAATGTCTGAAGGCCTTCTCATCAAACGTACCACATAAACTATCAAATCTAGGATCCCGAGATACAACTTTTTTGACTCGAGTTAACTCTTTATATCTGAGAACTGGCTTTTTAGCAGAAATCTCTCGTGGCCTATTCTTATTTTCCCGTTTAAACTCTATTTTCTCAGTTTTTTTCTTACTTTTCTTTCCAAATATCGTCTCATTATATACTTTGGTACCTAATTTCTCCTTTAATTTCTGTAAATCCTCAAAACTCATATGTTTTAATTCTTCTCGTACTTGTTCCTAAAACATAAACAATTCAGAGCATGTTACCACCCACGAATATATAAACTTTTCTTGTAATAATAGTGCTGTTAATTAAAATTAACCTAAATAAAAGCATTTAATAATATGTATTATAGTAAAAATAAATAGTGAAAATGAAGAAAAACTTACATGATCTTTATCTTCTGTAAGTAAAGACGCTTCCTCATCATTCATGTTGAGGCCTAAGATGAATAATGGAATACAAATTTATGAATCTCTGGAACAAAATACAATTTTTTTTTATTTAGTGTTTAATGTGACGTCAACTCTGTGTTTAGGTTTTTTGACACTTAACAAAATGCAATACCACATTTTTAGGTTAGGATTTACAGTTTGTTCATGTACTTAAGAAAACAACAAGAAGATTAGGAAAAATATATTTGTATAAATACTATAAATTGTACTCACATCTCCACTAGTACTCTATTGATCATACGAGTGCTTAAAAAGTTAAATCACACATTATAAATTTTATTTGTACGCAGAGTTCACACAAATCACAGATCAGACAACAGAGCAGAATGAGCGATGTTTCTCGATTAATCGAAATAACGATAATCGATAATTTGCCTTTTGATTAATCAATATTTGATTTTTCTCTCAACATCGACAGATCGACACACTGACTTTTTCCTTTTAATTAAATATAATTTAATTAATATCATATATTTATTAATGTGACTTATAGCTGCAGATTATATATTAGTTGAACTAATTCTTTTTTTAATAAATAAGTGTTAAAGAAAGTGACAGAACAAAAATAATTAAGGAACATATGTGGTTACCTATCGGTGATACATTATACATATCGCTTTATGTGTTATATATCACTTTATCACATTGCACATTTTATGCATATCACTGCACTGGCGTTAAATGTATACATGAATCTATTGCGATCGGAGTAAAGTATCCCTCACCGAATCGGGAGAGAGAGGGATATGACAATGGGAGGGATATTAATATTATTGCTTAATATTGGTAATGTTATTGAAATTAATATGTTGTATTAGGGGAGATCAGTTTTTCAGTTTCTGATTTTTAATAAAAGAAACTTTTCAGAATAACCAATAGAAGTTGGCTATTTCGATACTTAATGGTCGGTTAGAAGTTAACAGATGTTGGAAATAGTGACTCCAAGTCGCTCGATTCTTATATATTTTATTGGTTAGTATTGTGATTAATGATATTAAACGTTGCATGAGTGTTATGACAAATTAGAACACATAATAAAAATTAATGAATATAGCACTGCGACAATAATTCTAACTAAATTTAATATCTTCAAATCAAACCAGTAGTTTGCCGAGACAACCTTTATATTGTATTAACTAATCAATACTATTGTAACTATTTTAACATACTGAGTTTACTGTTAACTTTTATCATCGTCCATCACTACTCGCAGTGTTGTAAAATAGGAGAGTATAGTTGAAAGATACTGTAACATACAACAAAGTAAGTTTTTGATAATACATAAAAATGTATGTGCTATTATTCTTTACGCATTTTAAAGTAAAAATACATACACTTATTACATCTGTTAATAATTCTTTAATAAATAATTAAGTGAATTAATTATGAATAAAAAACTAACGAAGGAATAAATTAGTAAGAAAGATTAATAATAATACAGCATTCTGACTTTTTATAGCAATGTCAAAATAATTTGTTAATTAAAAAAATAATAATACTTTAATTACGGAATGATAAGACGTACAAAAATTTAATATACATGATATTTTTATAACTTACGCTTTAATACTAAAATTCTTGACTTTAATCAAAATAAGTAAATGAAGAATATAATGATATGATAATTATATACTGCATATACGATGGTGGATTTGATAAGTTTGGTAAATTTGTATGAGATGGTGTGTGTTACAATCCATTGTAGTGTGCTAATGTGCTTGAGGCTAACTCGCACAAGTATACAAAGAAAGAATATGATAAATAGAACGGGTCCTTAATTTAATTGTCTGAATTCTATTGTCTAGGACCTAGGAAAAATAACTTTACATTCTTTTAAGTTAAAACATTCAATATATTATTTTTAATATATTTAAAATACATAAGTATAGTTCAATAACTTTAAAACGTTAAAACTTTAAAACAGGTTCTATTATTTTAATTCTATTAATAAACATATTAATATTTTGTCAACAAATTAATAAACGACGATACGAGTCAGGCGCGGTACGTGGTGCGCAAGTAAAGAAATTAATAGTTACAGAAGTAACGAATTACAATGTACATAATATACATATATATTCTAGCTTAATAAACTGCGCGATTTACCTAACAGTAGCCTAATGTTATAATAGCTGTGTTTCAAGTCCGACAAATAATCGGCGCGCAGTTTATTAAGTTGGAATATATATGTATTATATTATATACATTGTAATTCGTTACTTCTGTAACTATTAATTTCTTTACTTACGCACCACGTACCGCGCCTGACTCGTATCGTCGTTTATTAATTTGTTGACATTTTTACGAGTCTAATGACATATTTGATTAATATTTTGTTTTCAATACGATTTTAATTTTTCTTATACCTTATTTATCATTTCAGCAATGTAATCAAGAATTAATTGTTTCTATAATTTTTTCTGATAATCTAATTCTATTAATATTTTTATTAATAGAATTAAAATAAAGACCCGTTTCAAAGTTATTAAACTATACTTATTTTAAATATTATTAAAAATAATATATTAAATGTTTTAACTTAAAAGAATGTAAAGTTTTTTTTCCTGGACAATAGAATTCAGACAACAAAAATGAAATATTTATATCTATATGTAGAGTTGTATCTTACTAAAGATAAATAGTTCCATAGACATCAGAAAAAATTATAGAAACAGTTAATTCTTGGTTACATTGCTAAAATGTAAAACAGATATAAGAAAAATTAAAATCGTATTGAGAACAAAATAATGGCATTTTAAAAATATAAAGCTTTTTTACAGATTTTTTAAAAAAATAATAATAAAAAACTAATACAGGATATTTATGCATGCAAAATAAAAATAAAGATTCGTCTTTAGATAGGGAATAAGTTATTAAATAAGTTCGGCATGTGTTTCCTTTAATCCCTTCCCCAAATATATTTGTCCAAGATTAAATATTTTGTAAATTAGTTCAATCAAGCTACACGTGTATATATAAATATATTTTTAAATATGTGTATATAAAATAGAAGTATTATAATACTTCCTTATAGGAATAGTTTTGAACAAATTTTGAAATTTGCTAATAATCACATAAAATTATGTAAACAAAACATGTAATATTCTACTCTGATTTGTTTCTTCAATTTGTTTTTAAAAAATAATTTTACGGCACACATACTAAAGAAAATTATTCCCATATATATATATTTCTATATATACATTTCTTTTAATTATATATATATATTATATTCTCGTATATTTCTATTCTCGCGTACTTGTATTCCTACATATCTCAACCAAGTGTACCGACCTAAACGTACGCGTAATCTTATCTTTTACAGGCTTTTACCGAACAACGGGGAAACTAAATCCAATCGTCGCCGATTGTATAAACGGTTCGTTGCGTTTCATTTTCGCGAGTGTCGTTCGAAGTCGTCGGATTATTCGAAATTCCGTCGTTTCTCTGCCGTTCGAGCCCGCCGGAAATAATTGAACGTTAATTCACGTTTCGGGATCGTCGCGTAAAATATCGTTCTTTTTTAATAATTAGCATATAACTGCGTCAATTTCCACGTTCTCAGAC